AAGGCCCCACTGGCTGGAAGCCCAGGAGCAAGAGGCAGCACAGCGCAAGATTAGAGAGGGCATGGGAAACCTGTGAAGGTTTCAGACTTTGGAAGTGGGGGTGTCAAAGAGGGGTACAGTAGGCCCAATGCAGAGTCAGGCTTGTTGCAAACCAAGGTGGGGAAGGAAATGTGGATTGAGAGAGAGAGAAGAAATGAAGAGAAATGAAAAGGACCCCAGTCAATGTGTGTGGAGATTGAGGAGGGAGCAGGCTGTCCCAGGTGCTGTCTGGGGACCCAGGGTGTCAGGTGGGATCATTGTTCAGAGATGAGGAGCGCTCTGAACTGATTTTCTTCTGTCTCATCCAGTTTTACATGAAAAACGTAGTATAAGCACAAGTTCATGCCAAAAAAATGAAATCGGTTTTAAAAGTGGTTTTCAACAAAAGGAAATGCGGTTTTGATGGTCATGACTGTGGGGCACCAGTAGCATTTAGTGGCAAGGGGTAGCAGGGATGTAACACAGTCAGGGTCGGGTGCTCAATAACCAAGGTAAGTATGGGTTTATTTACTAATCTGCGATGAACAAGTTCCCATGGGTTTTGGATGTGAACAAAAACATGTAAAACTGTTCATCACAGCTTAGTGAGCAAAACAAGTGAACGCTGTTTACTGGACACTCCACCTCTGTCTGGGACATTTGAAGAGGCTTTGATTCTGTAAAAGGTGCTGTGGGGGCCAGGAGGGCAGATGCCCACTCTACCTAGAAGCAGAATTTTTGGTGAAAAAAACAAACCAAACCATGTAATCGTTCACTCCGGATTAGAAAATAAGCGTAAGTGAGCCTTTGCTTACCTTGAAGGAGTGCATATTTTCATTCTACTTTAGGATGCTCACTCAAACTCAACCTCATTGCCATCGAGTTGATGCTGACTCACAGGGATCCCAAGATAGTAACTTTATGGGAGTAGAAAGCTCCGTCGAGCTTTCTCCTGTGGAGCTGCTGGTGGTTTCAAACTGCTGACTATGGTTTAGCAGCCCAACCACTCCGGTGGCCACCCCCACCCCCACCTACTACTGACCCAATTGATTCTGTCTCAGTGACCCTATAGGACAGAGTAGAAGTGGCCCTGGCTGGAATCTGGCAAAATGCAGACTGCTTCATCTTGCTTCTGCAGAGCGGAAGCTGAGGTTTCCAACCGCACGCTGCCGCTTTAACCGCTGCCCTACAGAGTTCCTTAGGATGTTCCCCCCCACCCGCCCTCCAACCCAAACCCCACTACCGGGGTGGGGTGGGGTGGGGGTAGGGGAGTCGCTTCCAACTCCCAGCGTCCCTAGAGGACTGAGTGAACTGCTCCGCTGGGTTCCCACGGCTCTTAATCTTCACGGAAGCAGACTGCCACATCTTGCTCCAGAGGATGCCTTTGGACCCCGAGAAATGCACAGATAGTGCTGAATCCAGTGCCCCCGAATCCTCCAGGAAAGGCCTTCCGACGGTGCTACGGGTTAGGCAGGGGGCTCTTCATTGCAAGGTTGGCGGTTGAAACTCACGAGCAGCTCTGCGGGAGAAAGATGAGGCCGTCTGCTTCTATAGAGACTGACGGCTGAACCCTAAGGAGCCGTTCTCCTCAGTCCTATTGGGCCCCTGTGAGTCAGAATTGACTTCATGGCAGTGGTTTGGTTTTGTGTCGAACCTCTTCCGTTCTCTTGCAACTCGCTCATGAGGACGGGGGTGCAGGGGCGGGGCCTCAAGCGCCGCGAGCGGAGGCGGTCTGCGCAGGCGCGCCACTGGCCCCGCCTCACGTGACGTGACGTGACCGCGGCCGTTAGGGCGTCCTGAAGCGTCGGGCGCGCGATTTAAACGCTGCTCCTGAGAAGCGGAGCAACATGGGACCGCCCTGCCCAGGTGAGGCCAGGCCGGCGGGAGAGGCCGTCGGACGGGGCGTGCCGGGCCCCTGAGCTGAGAAGGTGCCCCGTCGGAGCCCACTCC